ATTCTTGTGATAAGTGTGAAGCAAATTTCGAAAAAGAGGAAGATTAGAGAAATATTATAGCTGACTTGGAAAGTGAGAAGAAAAATATTCTATGTACTGTATATCATCTTCAAAGTGAGATAACTCTTCTAAATTCCAAGGTTAATAACATGTCATACTTAGTTACAAATTTGAAGGGTGAAGTGGCTATGATAAAAGGTACTAGAGAATTAAAAGGTAACTATCAAGTTGATAATGATCAAATAGGAGTGTCTGTGGTGAAGTCTCATCCCGCTGAAAGAAAGGAAATAATTAACATGTTTAAACACGTGTTACAAATTTCTAGCAGACTTTGATCAAATATGGCCCACAAGTTAGTCATCACCTGGAACATGCTACTCATGTGGTGAGCATGGTCATATAAAGTCCTTCATCTATAACTGGATTGAATAGTTTTTATGCACCAGTTTTATGATATCCTACCAGAATCATAGGTTCACTCTTGTCATCAAGCTTCCTTATTCTTGTATCAGGAACATGCTTGTAACACATAGAGCCAAACACCTTCAAATGACTCACTGATGGTCGTTTTCCACGCCATACTTCTTCAAGAACTATGTTCTTCAATATCTTGGTAGGACACCTGTTCAAAATATAAACTACAGTCAAAACAGCTTCTCCCCATAAAGACATTGGCAAATTATTTTGCTTCAGCATGTATCTCGCCATATCTAATATGGTTCTGTTTCTTCTTTCAGCAATTCCATTATGTTGAGGCGTATAAGGAGTAGTTACCTCATGATCAACACCATGTTCTGCACACAAATATTCAAACATCTTGGATGTGTATTCGCCACCTCCATCTGTTTGCAGAACTTTGATCTTCTTTTCACTCTGGTTTTCGACAAGTATCTTAAATCTCTTAAAGATTTCGAATACTTCGTCCTTTCATTTAATCACATAGATCCACAGCTTTTGACTAAACTCATCGACAAACGAAAAAAAAATTGTTTCCACGAATTGTATGTTCTTTGAATGTACCATATACATCTGAATGTATCACTTCGAGTATGTAAGATGATCTCATTGGCATAGCCGGAACGAAAGAATTTCTAGATTGCTTTCCTACTAAACAACCTTCAGAAATTTTTTCAGGCATCTCAAGACTTGGAATTCTAGTAACCGTATCTTGAGTAATCAGTTAATTGAGTGATCAAAAATTCAAATGTCCAAATCTTAAATGCCACAACCAACTATCCTTGTGGTCAACAACAGTTTTCAAGCATTGAACTTCAGTCGAACCGATCATAGTCTTAAATGTCTTGTTCTTCGATGGCGAAGATTTTAAGACCAAATTGTTTTTGGTGTCAAAAATTTTCAAAACTCCATCTTTCATGACAACTGAGAAACCTTTTTCGACTAGTTGTCTAACACTTAGTAAGTTGCACTTTATTCCAGGTACATAAAACACATCTTTGATCATATCTTTTCCTCCATTACTCATTTGAAAGAATATATTTTAGTACCTTCTGCTTGCAACAAACTATTACCAGCAAGTTTTACCTTGCTCTTCTTCGACTCGTCAAAATCTGCCAACCACTTTTTTCGACCAGTCATGTGGTTCGAGCAGCCTGAGTCGAGAAACCAGACTCTGGATTCGACATGGTTATCTGCAACTGCAGCCATAACCACCATACCACCTTCAGAATCATCTAAATCTTGGCGGGCAATGTTCGCTCCTTCGTCCTTGCTTGTCGATCCCCTGTATTTTCTGTACCAACAATTCTTGGCTATGTGACCCCATTTTTCACAGTTATAGCACTGCACACCTTTTTTATCTTCTTTGCCCTTTTGATAGTTTATCCTCTTTCTTTCGAGGATTTAAAAGCTCCATCTTTGACCTGATGTTTGTGAGGTTTCGACCAAGACTTCTTGCCCTGAGTCTTGTGGAACTTGCCTTTGGATTTGTTGAAACTACCATCATTTTTCTATGACTGAGCTTGTAGAGCCTGTATCGAGTCTTGCACTCATTTCCTTCCGACAATCCTCATCTCATGCGTCTCCAACAAACCAACCAAATTTTCCACTTTAATGGTTTCAAGATTGTTGGATTCTTGAATAGCTATGATAACGTGACCAAAGTGAGATGTCGACGTTCTCATTACCTTCTCAACTATCATCTTATCAGTTATGGTTTCACCATAATCTTTTATGAGATGGACGAATTTTTGAGTCTTCGACACATATTCTGTAATTTTTTCATCTTCTCCCATCGACAACAACTCATATTGTCGATGCAAGGTTTGTAACTTGATAACATTGACTTTCTCACCTCCTTCGTAATACTTCACCAGAATATCACATGCCTCCTTCACCATTTCAACATGAGAGATTCTGTCGAAATTAGCAACATCGACCGCCATCTGAATGCAATAAGCAACCTTGTAATCTTTCTTTTTGACTTTGTTGTGGGCTTTTTTCTGTTCGTCGGTTGTATTTGCAGCCAACACAGGAACGTCGTCGGTAACCACTTCTAGGGTTTCATGAAAGCCAAACAAGGATTGCATATATTTTTTCCATCGGATCCAATTCTTTTAGTCAAGCATTGGAAGAGAATTCGAAATGCCCTTATCACTAACCATCTTTGCAGCGGTTGAGTCACTTGCCCTAGAAACACAATCTTTAACGTGAAATTCTTGAAAACTCGATCAAAAATAATAACTGAAAACTCTGATACCAATTTGTTAGTGCGTGAGACACTTTTAGTGAGAAGAGAAAGAAAGAATAATAACGAAAATAATAATTTATATTATTAAATTGTATAAATAATAATATAGACTAAAATTATTTATATTCAACACTAGTTAGATTGGACCTACACAAATTAAATTATATTTAAATATTAAATCTACTCAAATATAATAAAATATAAATAATGATGAAGATGCAAAGCTTGGTCTTGAAGCAATTGTGGAGCAGAATGAATGTGCAGCAGGGCAATTGTCATGTAGATATTAGGAATGACCAGTTCATATAGCAAATGAACATCATTTGATAAATAGCGACTTTAACTTCAACTTCTATGAATCATTAATTCTCACCGTCAATGTTTTATCTCCTATTCTCCATGTTTTATCTATTGTTTTCCATAATTACTTTAATTCTCACCCTCCTTTCAATAGCATCAGCTTCTGAAACATTAATATTTTGTCCAAATAATCTTTTCTTAATCAGATATGTTTTGCACAAGCAATAACAATTGAGGCTGAGGAGCGTGAAGATGGCAGCCGCAGGACAACTCGGTGCATTACCTACCTTGTGCGCCTTCCTTTCTCCTTCCACGCTGCAATGGTTTGAATAGTGGCGGCGATGCGATTACCGATGGTTTACGGTTCTATTTCGCTTCCACTCTTCCTTGTTTTCTTATTTCTATACTGAGTTAATGGTAGTGTATGGCTTGGCCTCTTGTACAGGTGGATGCATTTGGTGGTTTGCACGGTGTTGAAATTGATTCCAACACCAACATGGTTTGTTATTGTTTCCTTTGATTTCACCTCTAATGGTGTTTGAAAAATTCCATGCAAACAATGCTGCATAATCATACCAGTTTTATTTCATTAGTTATTCTTTCTACTTACAAGTTAAATTAATGTGGAATTTAGTTACAAGTCCAGCAAATGCAAGGGATCAACAAAACCAATGGAAATAAATATCAAATTTGTAGTTACAGTGTGAAATTAATTGCTCTCTACATATTTCAAACAATTTAGAATTTTGTAATACATGCATGTCAACATTCTAATCACAGTATTCTTGAAGAAATCTTTTAGTGGCTTAGATTGAGAAACAATTTTGATGTATAAAACAATTGATACATTATTTTGAGGTTAATTTAAACACAGCTAACATATATTTAATTTAATGATAATATAGGAAAATTGAAATATTATTTATAAAATATATTTTTCTTTTAAAATTAATACACTATTTTTATAAAACAATTTTATTTTGATTATTTTTTTATATTATATTTTGAAAACAAATATATATATATATATATATATATATATATATATATATATATATATATATATATATATATATATATATATATATATATATATATATATATATATATATATATATATATATATATATATATATATATATATATATATATATATATATATATATATATATATATATATATATATATATATATATATATATATATATATATATTCGTGCGAATATATATATGGATAATACACCTGTATTTCTTAATTATAAAAGTTTATAAAAACTTATATAATTATCTTGCAATACATTTTTTTTCTTTTTTTTAATAATATTTTAATATTTTTTAATTTGTTTGAATTCTTATGACAAACTGATGACATATTAGTTGTCCACACCAGAATCTGTGTGTCGTATAGGTTTCCCATTAGTATAGCTTTAATTTTTATTTAAATAATTAAGAAAGTTTTAATATTAAACTAACCAATCCTTCACAATAACTCTCGATCTAAAATGTTTAAAAAAAATGAATTAAAGAAGAGACGTCACTTGAATTGACGTCTTCTGTATAATTTTCAAATTTTTTGAGTTACCGGTAGATTTTCTTATAGATTTGATATTATATGCAGATATAATTTAATAAATAAAAAAATTGAAAAATAAAATTTAAGAGATGACTTAACATCTCTTTTAAAAAATCAATGAATGTATCACTTAATTGTATTATAATATTTTCTAAAACATTCTTATTTACTTAAATTTTATGAAATATAATTATTTGTGTATTTTTTTTTTGTAAATATAATTATTACTAAAAAAGAATTTCATAGCTTTAAGCTCTGTTTTTTTCTTTCTCTTTTCACAACCTTTACCTGTGCCACGTTACACTCACACAAGGGCATTCTTGTAAAATCATTATCTGAAAACACATAACAAATCTGAAAGCTGGAAATTATCACTCTGTTCACTCCTCATTGGCTGCACCTTCACAGCAACAAAATCCAATGCTATTTTATACTATTATCTTCTCTCTTGAACCTTCCTACTCAGTACTCAGGTTTCTTCTTTTCTTCATCACCACCACTCTCACCTCTACACGCGACATAGAAATTTTTTCATTCGGTGCTCAGAGACAGACAAACAGGTAGTTTTGTTTTCCTTCTTCCTGTTTTTTTTTGTTGTTTTTCAGCTCATAGTATTCGTGTTTCATAGTTCATATGTTGTTTTTTTGTTTCTGTCTTGTCACAATGAAGGTTTGCCGTTTATTTTGATACTTTTTTTAGTCGTTGTTTTTTTTTTACTTTTCACACCTCCCCTTTCATCTCTTCTAGAATTTGTGAAACTGCATAACCCAGTTGGTTTCCAAGTGAAATAAATAATTTACCTATGTGGGTTTTCTTTTTAATGATTTTTTGTTAGATCTTAGAGATTTTTGTGTTAAATATTTGAATAAAAATCAAATTTTTATTACAGGTGTTTAAAGAAGAACAAGAAAAAAATGGAGTCAGATCTTCAGCAGCATCCCACTATGTTTCTAGATCATCAAAATCATCACCAGCAGCAACAGATGAATACAGGGTTAACACGGTTTAAATCTGCACCAAGTTCATATTTTTCGAATATAATTGATAAAGAGTTCTATGAGCATCTTTTTAACCGACCTTCAAGTCCTGAAACAGAACGTGTTTTTGCTCGGTTTATGAATAGTCTTAGTGGTAGTGGTAGTGGTAGTGGTGGCGGAGGTGATGCTGAAAGTGCTTCTGCTACAGCTACAGCTACAGCTACACCTTCTGTTGCTGTATCTGTAGCTGTAGCTGCTGGAGATGATTCACTGACTCAGAATCTAGTATCAACTGTTCAACAAGAACTTCTCCCTATAGTTAAGGAAGAGATTGATCAACAATCTCAAATCATGATGGCATCAATGAATAATGAAACTGTGGATCCTCAACAGATTCAACGACAGCAAAGTAATATGAATAGTTATGGTTCCTCTGGTCCTCCGAAATTTTACAAAAGCTCTGGAAGACCACCTTTGCCAAATCAAATGAAGACTGGTAGAGGAAGTTGTTCTAATCTTATTAGACATGGTAGTTCACCTGCTGGATTGTTTTCAAACATTAACATCGAAACTGGTATATCTTCATACTCTTTTTTCATTTTCTTCGGGTTATAATTGCGTTGTCATAATAATGATGCTAACTAGCTTGATTGGCAGGTTTTGCTGTTATGAGAGGGATTGGAACGATTGGAGCTGCTAACAGCACTAGCAAAGAAGCAAATTTTTCTCCTTCTGAGGTGCGGTTAAAGAATGCTCCAAAATACTTATCGGTGTTAGGAGGTGAAATCGGGAATAGTAGCATTCCACAAAATAATCTAGAATCTGAAGGTTTTGCTGAAACCCGAGGTGACGATTTCATCCCGGGTTTCCCTTTAGGTTCTACATGGGAGGATACTGCAATGATATCTGATAATATTACCGGTCTGAAAAGATACAGAGATGATGACGATGTAAAACCGTTTTCTGCAGGTTTAAATGCAGCTGATACTAAGGTAGTGGTAAAATTGTACTATTGGAATTTTGTTTTAAACATCACAGTTGTCAAATAGTTGCTATAGACGCGTAATAGTTCTATTTTTCTGCAATACACTATTTTTGCAAAGTGTTGTTAAATAGAAGCTATAGGGACACTTTAGTGCTGACTGACGTGTAGCAGAATTCAAATAAACCGTCATTTTTGCAATCTGATAGTGACAACACTGATATAATTTTGTTGTAATGTTCAGATTGAAACAGGAGGCCAGACTCCTGCTGCTCCTTTGGCTCATCAGACGAGTTTGCCTAATACCACAGCGGAATTGGCAGCCATTGAGAAGTTTTTGCAGTTCTCCGATTCTGTTCCGTGCAAAATCCGTGCCAAGCGCGGCTGCGCCACTCACCCGAGAAGCATTGCAGAAAGGGTATAAATTTATTATTCTGCTTTAAATAATTCCAACTGCACGACACATTTAGTGCGCGCCCGAAATCCGCTTCGCAGTCTTTACCTGAACATACTTTCAGGTTAGAAGAACTAAAATTAGCGAGCGAATGAGGAAACTACAAGATCTGGTGCCAAACATGGATAAGGTAATGTTTTTTACTTTATGGCACACACACCAACCTATGTAGCAAACCAAACATTGTTTTCTCTATTTGCAGCAAACAAACACATCAGATATGTTGGACTTAGCTGTTGAGTACATTAAAGACCTACAAAAGCAAGTTGAGGTATGTTCAAACAATTGACCAATCCATGTTTTTCAAACAATATATGCCATAAATAACCATACATCATTGCACATTCAGTTACTCTCTTTTTTTTCTTTCTATAAATATACAGACTCTTTCAGAAAATCGAGCTAAGTGCACGTGTTCTCATCGCCAATAAAGGAAATGAAAGTTGATGGTGATAAAGGAGTCAGAGTTTTTCTTTTGTACAGATTTTGTTGTAATAATTTGGTCTAGAAATTAAAGCAGCTTAATTTTCTGATATAATAATATTTGTTTTTGTTATATTAGTATTAGTATTTTGTTGCTTTCTATATGATTCTTTTGGAGTGGTGGGGGAATGAGATCATAAAAGTTGACTTTTAATTTTAAGATCATATAATTTGATGTATGTATGTGATGTCATCACATACATATACAAAGCATTGTGTACAAAATTTGGTGAAGCAAGTTTATTATGTTGGTTTTAATTTTCTAGGGCCCTCCATTTTAAGGGAATGGGGGATTTTGCATCTTACATGGAGTGTTGGTTATGAAGGAACATTAAATTGATGCTATGCGTGGGCTTGATTTAACATTAAAAATAAAGGGGTACATTGAAACATGGGGACCAAAACCGACAATATTTTTTGTTGTACGTTATATTAGTATATGTAATGTGGTTTACATTTATTTTTATTTTGCTTTCCTTTTTTCTTCACGATTTAATTAGGGAAAAATGAGTCCGGTATGTTGGTTGTCTGTGTTGTTTGTATTTTTTTGTGTGGTGGGTCAAGGTTATAGATTCGTAATCTCTAGTATGTTTGGTCCGTGCGTTCTATTTTTTTGTGGGCTTTTGCACGCATAGATATTTATATAAAATTTTATATTTTTAAACTTAAAAAGTGCAAAGTCCGTAAACATTCTTCGCTCCGCTCTATTTTTTTTGGCAGGGCGGGTTAAGATTTTAGACCCACACTCTCAACTATGTCCGCCACGTCATGTCTCGTTCCGTTTTTTACGGGCTTAAAAACGGGCTTAAACGGAATGAGCATACCCGTTTCTCACTCTTAATTTTAATCTTAAAAGGGTTGAATGTGTTTTTAGTCCCTATAAATATCTCAAATTTCATTTTTAGTCCCTATTAAAAAAATTACATATTTTGGTCCCTATAAAATTTTTATTCATTCAGTTTTAATTCCTGTAATTTTTTAAAATTTTAAAAATTATTTTATTACCCTTAAACTTTTAAATTTTTGAATAATTTTTTTCATGCGTGTTTAGAATACTATAAAATATTCCTTTACTAAATTTATGTGAAGAAGTTCCAATGGTCTAGAGGTGGAAACAATATTTTTTGCTTTGAAAGAGGTTTTAGGAAACTTGCCTTTCTGACATGCTTCACAAAGAGCGTCTGAAGTAAACTTCAGTTTTGGTAAGCCTCTAACAAGATCAAGTTTGTTCAGCTGAGAGATTATTCTCAAACTAATATGACATAACCGCCTATGCCACGTCCATTGCTCTTCATTGACAGACATGAGACATTTTACATTATGTTCTTTAAGATCAGAAAGTCTGATCTTATAGGTGTTGTTTCTTCTCTTTCCATTGAAAAGGACAGAGCCATCTTTTTTACTAACATCTTTACATGAATTTTGATTAAAAATTATATCATAACTATTATCAGTTAATTAACTAATAGATAATAAATTATACTTTAATCCTTCAACGAGTAAAACATTAGTTATAGAGGGAAGAGAACCCATTATCTATTGTTCCTTGAAGCTACCGATAAAAAACACAGAGCCGCCACCGAACTTTATTTATCTCGAAGGAAGAGAAAATATCGAGAAAAATACAAAAGGATAGATAAGATGATCTTGCAATCAAGAGAAAGGGTAAGTGTTGTACCCCAAAATTTGCCCTCCCCTTTCTTCAGGAAACCATCTTGGATTTTTCAAAGTCCCCCTGAAACAAATCCAAGTCCTGAGTTATCCTTTTGCCCAAACAAGTCACTTACAAGAGCAAGATGATCTCACGAACTCCAGAAGCAACGCTTTTATCTCGAGAAAAATCAAATTCTAAGTACTTAGAATGTTTCTTTAAAACAAGCGTTTTTTTAGAAAAAAATCAGTGCTTCAGAACTTCTGGACCCATTCCAGATGAAGACGGTCAGAAGTTGCAAGCTTGGCTCAGCGTGGTCAGAAGTTGGCTCTTCAGCAGCTACATCAGTTCAATCAGAAGTTGTAAACGTGGTTCAGAATGCAAGCCTCAAACAGAACATGCCCCTTCAGCAGTTACACAAGCTCAGTCAGAATTTGCTAAAGGAATGCAAGAGAAGCAGGAAAGTCTGAAGGCTCCTTCAGAACAGGTTGAAATCAGAAGATGAAAGGTCAGAAGAATGGGTGTTACACTAATACAGAATCTCTAAGTCCAGATTGTCCAGAAGTAAATCCAAGGAACGTACCAGAAAACTAGGAGAATCTCCAGAGCTTACTAAGGCAACAGGTAGCCAAGGCCAGAGCATGGTTTACGCTGCTGATTCAACGCTGGTTTCTATTACCAGAACGTTGGTATTGACAGGTCTTGTCACCATTTAATGCCCATTAATGCTTCCAACCACTCCTGAGCATTCACGTGTGGCTTGGAAAACACTTTTGCACAGATTCTGGCATGGGTCTTCACGCCACCGCCCACTTCAGAGGTCACTTCTCCCCAATCTACGCCTGCTGCTGCAACCTAGGCTGAAAGATAGCTGTTATCACAACTTCCCAGGAATTTCTGTCAAAAAACAAATTCAAACTCTGTTGGCGCCTTAAATGTTCAAGGCATCCACAAGAACTTTGCCTATAAATAGAGAGTCTTCACCACTGCCAAAGGGGTTCAAAAAAAGAAACAGAAAATTGCTAAGAGAGAAACGAAACTCCTAGCAACGTAGCATTCTGAAACTCTGCCAAAATCTCCAGTTTTGTTTCATAACTTTAAGTCGCTCACCTTCAAACTTCATCAAACATCCAGCTCTTTTCTGTAAACCAAAAACGCTCTTTCCAAACTTCTGACCCTATACACGTATACACCTTTACTTCCCCTTTTCCAAATCTGTCCAGAACACCACCAGAACCAAAAGCTAACTTTCATCCACCACTTTCCAAACAGTCAGGTAAGCACCTGCTGACCCTCACCACACTGTTAAGCATCATCAGCTGTGCATATTCAAGTAACATAATGTAAATATTCATGTTATTGCTGTTTATGTTCTGAGGACTCTCATACCTCAGAACGTTCTGAGCCAGTATAGGACTTGCCTGTGACCTTGGTGATTCTGACTTCTGAAACATTTTTGCTATTCTGCTGGATCTGTTCCAAATATATTTCCTGTTTTGTGGAGTAATAACAGAATTGCAGATGTTCTGATTAGTACAGGGAAAAGCCAAATGCTGACTTTGACGTTAGCACATCTGAAGCCTGTTTTGCTGTCAATGACATCAGAACCTCTGAGAGTTATTGCCTTTTCAGCAGAATCAGAACTTCTGGTTTCTCCACTAACAAACTTCTGTCTTGCAGCGCAGGGAAATCAGAACTTCTGGTTTCCCCACTAACAAGGTTCTGTTTTGCAGGTTCTAGAGTCAGAAGTTCTGACTCATCCAGTTTCACTAACAGGTTGATCATCTGACAGCGGATCTGAGTCAGAACTTCTGATGACCTCCCAACAGCGCGCGGACTCCCTCTCTCTCTCTCTATATATCTTGTTTTTTGCTATTTTCTTTTTTGTCTATTTTTCTCGTTGAACCCCCCATGTACAAATGTGTATCCCCCTCCCCTAATTGTTGTAATAGCATAGGATTTTACATTTCCGCTTCTTATTGCTAGTAATTAGGACGTGTATGGCAAGATAAAATCAATGAAATAGAAAAACCTAATTCAAAGAAAAACTCTTGTATGCAATAAAACACACTTGCACACTAACACCCCTAGGGTTACATCCACTTGTTGCCTTTCAAAATTGGGCCATATTGCATGTTAGGTCTCTTTGGGCAAAATAAAACAAAATCAAATGATCATAGTCCCTCGATAAAACTTTTCAAAACAAACAAAAACAAACGATCAAAGTCCCTTAAAGAAAAGTTGCCCAAAGACATCTAACGCCGTTGCAATTATGGTCTAAACGATGACCCGCGCTTGTCCCTTTCACATCCTAACACAAGGTTGTCCACCAAATTCAATGGTGGAACAAACTTGTTAAAAGGGTTAAAACATAGCAATAATCTTTTGAGAAATTTAGGAGTAGACAAACCTCTTAGTTACTTGATCAAACTTGCAAAAACACTTGCTGTTTTTCAAAACACACATCACAACACACTTTCAAAATAACTTTCAAAAACATTGAAAACTTTCAAAAGACATACACCTCTGTATACATCCCAACATGGATCATCACAAAGGTTGCCACCACATTGGCCTCTTTTCAAAACATTTTCAAAAATCCACACACAAAGCACCATTTCAAACAATTGAAAATCAAGGCAAGTGATCTAAGCAAGTAACTAAGAGCCCATGGATAACCATGGATAGAAAGGGTGCTAATACCTTCCCTTTCTATAATCTACTCCCCGAACCCAAGAAAACATCTCAAAAGGTTTTTGCTGTGCTTTTTTAACCTTTCCTTAGGATAAAATAAAAAGTCGGTGGCGACTCTTGCTAACCGCAACATTTGCGAATACAAACGCAAAACCTCAAGTCAGTTCTCCCACCGTATCACAGAACTGGCGACTCTGCTGGGGATAATTTTTAAAAAGTGGAGTAACCTTAGGGTTTAGATCACCTTTGTTTTCAATTGTTTGCTTTGTTTGCTTTTATATTTGTGGGCTTTGCATCGGAGTTTCATAGATCCTAACCCGGATCTGGGATATACCCTTTTTAGGTAGCATAATCTGTGAGGGACCTGTCCGGCGTAGACCGACATGGGTGAAGCAGTGGCTACGTTGGTGTGGCATCTTAGTCTGTACCTATATCCCTTGTGTTGTAACAGGGAGAATATAGGTCTTCTAAGGGGTCATTAAACACCAACCAACCTTAGAACCCTAAATTGACCAACTTGGCTATTAGGACAGTAGCAGTATGCTACACTCATTGAGGCTAAACTCTCGAGATGGTTCTGGCCGCGAGAAAAGATTGCGATGC